ACACTCAGACACACACACACACACACTCAGACACACACACAGACACACACACACACTCAGACACACACACACACACACTCAGACACACACACAGACACACACACACACTCAGACACACACACAGACACACACACACACTCAGACACACACACACACACTCAGACACACACACAGACACACACACACACTCAGACACACACACACACACACACACACACACTCAGACACACACACACACACACACACTCAGACACACACACACACTCAGACACACACACACTCAGACACACACACACACACACACACTCAGACACACACACAGACACACACACACACTCAGACACACACACAGACACACACACACACACACACTCAGACACACACACAGACACACACACACACTCAGACACACACACACACTCAGACACACACACAGACACACACACACACTCAAACACACACACACACACACACTCAGACACACACACAGACACACACACACACTCAGACACACACACACACACACACTCAGACACACACACAGACACACACACACACTCAGACACACACACACACACACACACTCAGACACACACACACACACACTCAGACACACACACAGACACACACTCAGACACACACACACACACACACACACACACACACACACACACACACACACACACTCAGACAGACACACACACACACACACACTCTCTCTCTCACACACACACACACGCTCACACACACACACGGTCCAGGTACTGCATTATATAATGGTTGGTTCCTTTGATCATCTCAGGAACCGAACCTGGACACCTTAACCATCAGAACCGATCCAGAACTCATTCCGACTGACAGAATTCCCTTGAGGACAACACGTGTCCCGACTAAAAATATTAGTGAATCTAAAACAAGTTTCTGCTGCCGACTCTCGTCGTTGGGCCCGTCCTGCCGACCCAGTTCCCTGACGTCCCCCGGGACTTCCGGTCTGAAACCACCTGGAGGAGCGTCCTGTGCTGACCAGCTGGGCTGTGGGGCTAAATGAGCTTACAGGGGTTGGAGCCGTCGGCCACCAGCAGCATGCGCAGCGAGCTCAGGTTGATGTCCTTCTGGTCCTTGTGGGCCACCAGAGCCCAGTGCATGTCTCTGGACTTCACACAGGCCACCTTGGCTGCAGAGACACAACAGGAGTCAGGTATAGTCAGTCTGACAGGCAGGAGACGGCGATGGGTTGGGTCTGAGGCTGACCTTTGTACTGGCAGACCTTCTGGATCCACGACAGGGGGTTGACCTTCATCAGTGAGTACGGCACGCTGATCACGTGCATCATGTTCATCACACTCTGTAAACACACAGGAGGGGTCAGGGCTTTAGCCTCCATGTTTCATTAGAAGTTCTGAACGGAGACCAGCTGCAGGTCTCACCGTCAGGATGCCGTGCCACAGACCCACGTCCTTCTTAAAGTCCAACACGTCCACGATGGTCTCTGCTGCAGAACCGAAGGAACAGAACTGGTTTAAATCTGCAGGTGTGTGTGTGTGTGTGTGTGTGTGTGTGTGTGAGTGTGTGTGTGTGTGTTACCCTCGGTGTAGCTGCAGGACTGTGTGAGAGCCTGGCAGTGTGTTAGCAGAGCGATCCTCGTTACCGTGACGCCCAAGACGCTGCCGTCCTTACAGGTTTTATACTGGGGTGAAGAACAACAGAGGGATGAGAGGAAGCAGACGCTGCAGCGCTCAGAGAAAAGCTCACAGGAAGTGGTCACGGTTCTGCTGCTGGTGAAAGCTGGAGAAGCTCTAATGGTCCCCTGGGAACCGTGATGGTTCTACTGGGTTTGATGGGGAGGTAAAAGCAGCTGTGATGTCATTGACCCCTACGGGAGGTGGACTCCTTCAGCAGTGAGACACATACTCCACTGATCTTTATGGTGCGTTTAATGTCCTCTATGTAAAATCAGAGCACTAACATGCTTTTCACATCAGGGCAAGTGGGAGCTGATGATGCATTCAAGTCCATCTTTTAATTCTACATTTAAATTGTGAAACGTGTTCTATTAAACAGCTGTTAGAGGCCTGTTTGACCCTCCTCTGGCAGCATAAAAGCATTTAAACACCCTAAATCTGGTCTGATATCTCCATAAGTCTCCTTTCCACCTGAAAACTAAAATGTTTACTCTGAAGCATCTGGCGTCAGGCGTCTGTAGGAACCTCCTGGTGGTCGGTGAGGCAACGTGGGATCAGATTAGAGCAGAGCTGGCTTCCACGGTGTGTGTGTGTGTGTGTGTGTGTGTTGGCTCACCTCTATGTAAGCTGTGTCGTTGTTTGCGTCCTTGATGTGAGGGAACCAGTCTCGGGGAGGTTTGGAGAGATGTTTCGACTCGGTAACAAACCACAGCAGCTTGGGCCATCCTGCAGGGAGGAGGAGAGAGAGGGAGGTAAACCAGAGGGTGGGATGATGCATCAGCACACCCGGAGGGACGCTCTAGATCTAAAACTAAACATTTCAGCTTGTTATTCTCCAGTTTCAGCTCCTCTAACAGTTTCCTGTGCTCTTTTGGTCACAGATGTAAACATCTGATGACTAATCTATGGTAATAGATTCACGTGAGCTCTCCTCCTCCATGATGGATGCTTTACACTCTGACCTTTGAACTGTGGGATCTCTCCTGTTGCGCTCTTGGGAAGCCCCTTATGGCAGGCATCGCTGGTCAGCGCCACGGTAACGCCACAGCTTCCCAACAGGAATCCAATCTGCTGGCTCCCGGCGTCCTATTGGCCGAGACAGAAGGTGAGAAAAGCAGAAAACGCTGCCAGAATTCACAGATGAAGAACCAGAGCTTGTCGTTCAGAATAAATCACGAGGATGACAGAAAATCAGATGCCTGGCTTACGATCAGGGAAAAGCCTGCAGTCTGACAGCAGGCTGGGGGAAGCAGTTCAAGCGAGGTGGACAACGTGCAGCAGAAGACATTTTGTACTGCCGCAAGTAATCGGCGTGTAACCATGCCAACCCTGCACAAGTGCTGCAAAGACAGGCAGCTCGGCCTCTGTCGGCTCAGAGCAGAGACGAAAGCACCGAAGCACGGCCGGCAGCTGGAATCGGACGCAGCAGCAGATGAATCTGGTCTTCTGAGGAGACGGAGTGGACCCTGACTGATGACTGCGATGCCTGAGCAGGAGGCTGCGTTCTTGTGTCAGACATGTTCTTTTCTGCTTCCTGTTCAGACGGGATTAACTTCGTGGAAACACTCATTGTTGCCAGAAAACGGCTCTGTGAGTGGGACTGAAACAGACCTGAGAGTCTGGAGGGCTAGGGTTAGACAGACGGGACCAAAACAGAAGACACCACATGACCTCTGACCTCCAGCAGCAGAAGCATGACCCCATGACTCACTTTGCGACTCAGAGGAACCTCAATGGGAACAGGAACCACTTCAGCTAGCAGACAGCCGTAGAACGCCACCATGAAGGCCACGGGGTCATTGTTGGGAAACACCAGCGCCACCTACAGGAGGAAGTGGAAGATGGAGGTCAGGCTCCGCTGAACGTTACAGACGCACCAGTGGGGATTATTTTCAGTTTTAGCATCTTTCGTCCGGGTTTCCTCTTATTTGATCTACAAACAAAAACGTGATATTGCCGTTTTAGTTTTTATGGTTCGTCACAAAATCTGATGTTCTGATAAAAACCCTCCATGAAGACGAGGTCAGCGGGATTTCCGACGTGAAGCCAAAACGAGTTTAAACTCCAGAATAAAAATAATCCCAACAATAGGATTACTTTCTAAAAGTAATTCAGACAAACTGACAGAATGAAGTAAACCTGACGAATAAAAGGAACAAGAGCAGCTCCATTTGCCTCTGAACAAGAGAAGGACAGTTAAAGAGCCTTGGGGGGCCCAGCGGCAGCTTCAGACTGGGCTCCATTCAGCTGAATCAAACATAAATTATCATTTTAAACATCAGAGTGAAGTTTGATAAACGGAGCGGCGCCGACTCAGACGAGGGTGGGCGACGTGGACGACGGGGTGTGTGTGTGTGTGTGTGACTCACCCGGTCGCCTGGTCGCACCATCGGCTCCTGCTTGCTGCCCAGTTTGTGGAGGATGTTGTACGCCAGCTTCATGCTGCGAGACCAGAGCTTCCCTGCAGGGGGGCAGAAGAAAAGATAGATGATTCGGTGGAAGTTTGCCTCTCTGTGCTGTAGCTGGAGTCAGCGTCTGAGCAGGTGAGGATTTTCTGCTCTGTTTGGCTGACGTCATGGACGTCATTTTCACTTTAGAAGTGGGGGGGACACGGAGTGGGGGGGGGGATCTTTACAGTATGCTCTAATGGGAAACAGGCTTCAACACAAACAGTTGTTTTCTGCTTGGTCCTAGAGCTCAACTAGTGTCAATTTAATATAGCGTAACATTGTTTTTGGATGGTAAAAAGTGCAGCGGTCAAACCTTGACTTTGGAAAGAGTGGGGGGGACATGTCCCCCCTGTCCCCCCCCCAAAATTACGTCCATGGCTGACGTACAGGATTCTGGTCATTATCCGTTTGTAGATCACACACACACACACTCCTAACCGTCGTCATGGTTACCGTATGTGAGCACGTAGAGCGGCTTTCCCGCCGTGTCCAGGCTGGTGAGACAGGGGGCCTTCGGGGAGATGGTCCCCCAGCGCTGGAGCGCAGCCTCCAGGGAGGGGGGCCAGTTTGTGACCACCCCCAGCGCCTCTCCTCGGACCGGCATCATCTCCGCCCCCTCTGGTCGAGGCTGGTTGGGGTCGGGCTGCTGGACTGGAGACGAGGACACAGAAAGTCCAGTAAGCGGACAGCTGATGTGATGCATTAGAATACGTGATTGTCAGACGTGGGAGGAAGGATGACATCTGCGGTGATGACGGCCACGGATCTTACAGGGTGCAACTTTGGTTCTACGTCATAAAATCCAGGCTTCAATTCAACAATCAAACTTCATTCTGATGGTCAACAGGGCTTTGGGTCAGTGAGGTCACTCCCCGCTGGTGGGGACACTCAGAGGACGTGTGGACAAGCGGCCAGGTCATGTGGAGCATGATAGTCACAACCTCATCACAAAGACTCTTAATTTGGTCTCCGTTTATTTGAAGTTACTCCCAGATTTTATTCTCCGTGAGCTCTCTAAATCCTCCCAGAGTCGTCTCACTGTTCACCGTTTTCTGACTCACAGAAACCAAACGGAGACGAGCTCCAGACGCCCACAGAGAACATGGTTCACACCTCCAGCGGCACGAGCGCAAGGCCCTGAGGTCCCCCAGGACCCTGACAGGTCTGCTGAAGGTGTAGGGAGGGCTTAATACGACGCTGGCGGTAAAAGAAAGCTCCACGTTTTATTTTCTGACAGAAACAAGATGGCTGAAGACCCAGAGAGCTGCGGCTCAGGTTTATCCCCGTCAGAATCCGGCTGAAGATGCTGACTGTGTGAATTATTATTTATCCTGACAAAAACAAAAACAACACACAGCAGCGATGGGTCACAGAGAAAAGCAGGCAGACGGAAGGTTTCTGACCCTCGAGAAGCTCGTCGAAGTCGTCTACGAAGAACTCCCGTAGCGGCGGTCTGCGCGGCTGCTTCAGCGTGTTCACCAGCTGCTGGATCTTCGCCGACACGCGGCTGCTGACGGGAACACCTGCAGAGGAACAGGACCTCAGTGGAAGGCAAAGGCCTGAATCAGACCTGCGTCAGTAACAAACCCCAGATTTTAAACAGACAGAGAACTGGTTTGTATTTCGCTGCTGCAGCCTGTAGCCACGCCTTCAGGCCGCACCGCGGCGTGAACGCGAGACAGGACAAAACAGGGAAAGGTGACGGGTAAATAACAAGACCGCACCCCACGTGGGACTGAGACCAGCACAAACGGTTCCTGACGGTCCCGTTTCTGGCGGCAGCTCGTGACGCTCACCATCGCCCGTCTCCATGCGCTCTGCGTTGCCGTACTTCTGTGTGTTCCTGGCAATGGTTCCCATGTTGGACATGTGGTGACGCTCGGTGTGGGAGTGGGACGAGTCCGACGAGTACCCCGTCACATCCGGAGGCGCTGAGTGGTTCTCTGAAGGAGACAGAGAAGAGGAGACAGATGGAGACGGAGACACAGCCAACAGCCAGCGGTGACTCATGCTGTCCTGATGGCGGCGCCTCCAGAGCCGCGTCCTGTTGTCTCCACGGCCAGTTCGACATGTCTGATGGTCGTTTTGTTTCACGGCCACTCGGGTCACAGGAGTCAGTGAGCTCTGAAATACCTGAACTCTGGAGCAACACCGTCTCTGGTTCTGGACTTTCTCTGAGTAAATACCAACAGGAAGTGGAACTTTTCTAAATAAAAGTCCTTTTTATAAAACACGAGACTCTTTAACGCACTCAATAACAGAAAATGGCTCCATCATGTTTCCAGAGCTTAATGACGCTAAAACCTGGGAGAAGTTAGTCTGTTCAACCAGAACCAGGCTCTGGTCCTGGTACCAGGACCGGACCTACCCTCCGACTCCAGCGGCGGCGGCCACAGCATGTCGGATCCAAACTCACAGGATCGTCTCAGAGATCCTCCGTTCTCAGCGACACTCAGAGCCCCCTTCCTCTTCAGGGACAGGTGGCCGATTCCTGCAGGTACAAACACACCTGTCAGCGGTTAGGCAGGACAGGGTACCGCACCAGAACATCTGTGTAGAGAATAATACTCATCGGCTTATTTACCTATTGTGTCAACACATTTGAGCACAAACAAACAGGAGAGGCTGATGACATCATCGTTAGTCTGAACCTAGGCTCTATAAACGATTTACGACAAACTGATCAGATTTGTTCCTTAAGCCGAACATTGATCAATAAGAGTTTTCATGAAAGACTTTAGAGGGCGTTTAGGACGCTGGTGTCCTGGAGGGCCACGGTGCTCCGACACACCTGATCAAAGGTTTCTGCTGAACCCGAGGAGGAAACTGAATCAGGTGCGGGAGCAAAACTCAAACGAACAGATCAGTGGCCCTCGAGGGGAAATATTTCCTATAAATAGTGTAAATAAATAAACATCCGAACCCGACTGGGTCCGACCCATCATGAATAAATAAATAAAGATGGACGACAGGTTTGTGTTGAAGGTAAATCTATAGAATCCCATTTCCAGATGTTCTGTTTTAATTGTAGATTTAGTGATAAAAACTAAGTCTTGGATCATTTTTAATGCTTAAATCATCTTTTAGGGACAGACGAAGATAAATCATCGCCGTCCTTCTTTCACAGAAAACCGCAGAAGAAGAAAAGTCTCACCGTGATGTGACTGGGACAGGTGGTGTGACTGGCCCAGGTGAGGGTGACCCAGGTGTGCGTGTGCCAGGTGTGAGATGTGTGTGTGCGCCAGTGAGTCGGCCAGCCGCCCGGCGTTCCCGCTGCCTCCGCTCTGCGTGGACGATGACGAGGAGGAGGTGGAGCCGAGGTGGGCGGGGCCTAGCTGTGAAGGGCGGCTCATCCAGTGCTCCATGCTGGACGTGTCATCGCCCGGCCCCGCCTCCTCCTCGGAGCCCGACGAGGAGTCTGAGCACAGGGGGGACAGGCCTGGGGAGAGTCAGTGGCTGCCGTTAGTCGTTTTCATCAGAATCAGCATAAAAACGTTCACATGGTTCAGATCTGACCCTGACATCACCGTCAGCCTGAAACTAGAACCAACCCGAACTCGTAACCTAAATGAAGTCAACACCAGGAGAAGCTGCTCAGGTGGGACTGGTCTGGACGCGGGAGAAAAGGTCTCCTCCTCCTCAGAGAGAACCTTCTTTCTGGTTCTGGTTCTGGACCACTGGAACCGCGTGGTTCTGTTCTGACTCAGGAGCACTTCCTGTTGCCTGCCATGACAGCTGTGTCCAGGACAGACAGGCTAACGGCTAGGCTTAAAACCTTCAGCAGGTCATGTTCATGCATCGCAGACGGGATCATTAGATCCTTAATTCAGTCTAAAAATAATAAATATTTCCTGTATTAAATAATCAGGTTCAAACGAACTGTTTAGGCTTAAGTATAAAATACTTTAGAGTAAGTAGTGAAAACTAAGACTTACACAGGAAGTTCTGAACCACGGCAACATGACGCCACCCTAATCACTTTTTAATAGCTGAAGTGTTCGAGCGCTGCATTATTATGCTTTTGGAACAAAAACTGTGATCATGTCTGAAGTTTCAGATCCTACAAGGAAAAAAACTAAATTTGTGGCCATTATAGGTTTTTTTATTTAAGTAAAACTTTATTTATGAAGCATAAAAATCACAAAGTGCTTCATGGAAACAGGAAATTAAACAGGAACACACGTCAGACATCAAACAGATTACAGTGTATTGAGCCTAAAATGTGTCCAATTAAAGAACGGATGTTAAATATTTGTTAGATGATTCAGCAGGATTCTGTTCTCCGACCTTTAGCTCAGAGAACCAGACTGGTTCTAGTGGCTGTTGAGCCTACAGAACCAGTTAACCCACCACGTCTGTGGGTCAGGGCTCAGGAGACTGAACGTAGTCTAAATGAGACTAAACGATCTGAACAGAGACGATGCAGCCCAAACGGGAGCAGGAGAACATTTAAAGAACCTCACAAACTCACTTTAACTCAGACATGCGAGGCTTGAACTTTAGATGGATGTCGAGGGCAGTTAGGAATATCCTGAAAGGTCACGAAGCAAACGACCAGAGGACAAAGTTATTATATTTCCTTCATTAACGTCCAATCAGCACCAAGATGTGATTAAAGGCCACCTAACGAGCTCATGTGAGAGTTAAAGGTCGGCTCCACCGCCCCATCCTGAGCCACGTCTCTGCAGCTCATCTGGCTGCGGTTCCTCCCAGAACCAGAACCGTCTAAGAACAAAGCTGACATTAAAGCATGATCCTGTCTGAAACCTAGCTGATGCTCAGGGACACATCTACCGTCAGCGGAGTCGCTCAGACAGGTGGGTACTGGATAATTCCTGGTGTTTGTCTGTTTCATCACCTGGAGGTGTGTAGGCATCCATGGAGGTCTGGACCACCAGCGATCGTCTTTTGGAAGGCATGGGCACCGCCATCTTCCTCTCTACATGTCGCGCCAACACGGCCTGCACCGCCTCCGTGTGGACGTCTGCGAGACAGAGACAGAGACTCGGGACTAGAACCAGAGGAAACCCAGCATGAGGACTTTGTTTGGCTTTGGTCATCTGCAGCATCTCGCTGCGACTGCTGGAGGATTGTTGCTCTTTTCTGAAAATGTTTTGCATTTAAATGATGATTCTGTGACGGTTTCTGTGTTCGACCTGTCTACAGGGGAGGCTCGTGTACCTGATCGGTAGCGCTCGTCTCTGGTGCCGGAGGTTCTCCGCCGGTGGAAGCGGGCTGCAGAGGGCGGTCCGAGCGGGGCCCGGTGGGACATGGGCCCCTCCATACCTACAGAAGCAGGCAGACAGACGCACATGTATGCACGGAAACGCAGACGCAAACGTTCCACAGAAGCCAGAGGTCAGAGCGGCGAAAAGAAAAACAAACATGGAGGCGACGGATTAGGCAGAAAAAATCAGATTTTTCTGAATGATGAATAAAAATAAATGAAAGAAACAAAATGAAATCAGAAAGAAGTGGTGTGTGTGTGTGTGTGTGTGTGTGCGTGTGCATGTGCGCGTGCGTGTGTGTGTGTGTGTGTGTGTGTGTGTGTGTGTGTGTGTGTGTGTGTGTGTGCATGTGCGCGTGTGTGTGTGTGTGTGTGTGTGTGTGTGTGTGTGTGTGTGTGTGTGTGTGTGTGTGTGTGTGTGTGTGTGTGAGAGAATCCATCTGGATCAGATTCAGAGGGGCAGGCCCACGCTGAGCTCCAGGGAGGACTAACCTACGTCCACTACCTCTACAGTTACAGTTACAGTTAGCTGAGGGTGTGTGTGTGGAGGGAGGAGGGGTCAGAGGTCACTAAATTACCTCCAACAAGTGCCCTGATCAGCTTGAATCTCTTCTTCTCATAACCCCTCTGAGTGATGTCCCCTGTGAACAGATAGAGAGAGAGTCTGGCTGAGAGGGACGCTCGTCTCGGTTTAGCTTATCGATCACGTTTGGTTCTGATGGAGAAACAAGGTTTTGAACCTTCAGCCCGTCTGTCTCTCAGTCTTTAATGTTTTTATCTGTTAATCAAAGATAAAAAATGAAAACTTAAAGAAAACAAGATGAAATGAGAAGGATGGAAGTGATAATGCAAAAGAATGAAAGCTCATCGCCACGACGACAGCAGCTGGTACTGAGGATGAGCTCAGACTCCGCTCCAGCTGACTCCAGATCAGCGACAGGTGTGTGCAGGTAACAGCCTTGAGCTGTTTCACCAACATAATCATCCACAGCCATAACATTATGACCAACTGTCTAACAGCCTGTTCTACCTAAGCAGCTCCACACACGCGCTCGTACACACACGCACACACACACACGCATGCACACATGCGCGCACACACATGCAATCACGCACACACACACATGCAATCACTCACACACATGCACGCACACACACACGCACGCACGCGCACACACGCATGCACATGTACACACACACACATGCACGCACACACGCGCACGCACATGCAATCACGCACACACGCGCACGCAATCACGCACACACACACACATGCGTGCACGCAAACGCGCACACACACGGATGCACACACACACATACAGGAGTTTGTGGTAAGCAGCAGACAGACAGAAGTGTGTGTGTGTGTGTTGGGGGGGTATGAAGAAGCCCATTACAGGGGGGGGTCTTTGCTGCTGTGACAACCTCCCTCTAATCAACACAACCCCCCCCCCCCACCCCAGGCCACGCAGCACGGCTAACATCAGCTGATACTTCCCTGTTTGTCCCAATTAAAAGCTGCTAAACTGCTTCGCTCCAGTTTGCTGATTATCGACTGTCATCTGACGGTCGGAGACACGAGGAGACTGATCAGATCTGATAAGAGAGGAAGTTCTTCGTTCAGCAGCAGATGGAGCATCAGGACAGAGAAAAGTCGCTCTTCTCTAACCATGTTTCATGAGAACCAGCAGAGCCGCGTATGTTCTGATGTTCCCTTCATCCTTAAAACGGAATGATGCTCCATAAAGCAGGAAAACTGCTGCAGCGGCCATTTTTAGGAAATGTTTCTCAAACGGACTATTTTCAGCAGCAGGTTCATCCAGAGCTCCAGAGGTGCCTGCAGAATGATTTATGTGGAGCTACGGAGGGAATGTGATGTCACCGTGGCAACAAGTCTCTGAATAAAAAAACTCACTCTGTCACAGACCGGAAGCTGCTCGCATTCACGCTGGGATGACAGAACCACGTTCAAAGCTGCAGGATGTGAGAACACCAATGCTTTGGATAATTAGGCCGGGATCGCCTTGACGGTGAGACGAACGTCATTTTCAAACATCTGAAACACGTTCCTGATCCTCGTGTGAGACAGAGCCGGCTGGCTTCTCACACAACAGGAGAGTCCACCTGCATCTGTACGCTCTCCACACAGAACGAGGTCGGAGCTGCACACGTTCAACGCCACGAGCCCCAGCCCGGCTAAGCGAGTCTCAGTCTGAGGATCAAACATCTCCCCCACGAGGAACAAAGAGCAGAAGGGTGAAATATTCATGTTTTCATCTGTTGGAATCAAACTGAACTCAGAGAAAAACACTGATTTAAAAATGAATCTCAGCCTGATGGTGGAGAGCAGCCGGAACATCTGGGTCCAATCTGCTGATGTCTGTCTGTGTGTGTGTGTGTGTGTGTGTGTGTGTGTGTGTGTGTGTGTGTGTGTGTGTGTGTGTGTGTGTGTGTGTGTGTGTGTGTGTGAGAGAGAGAGAGAGGCTTTCTTCTCCACTCAGATCAGCCGCAGTGTAAAATCATCTCTCTCTCTCTCTCTCCCCTACACACACAGCAGAGGTCCGTGGGGAAACGCCATCTTCCACTCGCAGCGCAGCGGAGCAGGGAGGAGTTGCCTAGCAACGGCTCTCCTAGAGAAGGCCTGAGATGGCCATCTTGGATTTGGTGATGTCTTGATGTGAGTCTCTGTAAAGATACCTGCCAAGGTTGGTGCTTGTGTGTGTGTGTGTGTGTGTGTGTGTGTGTGTGTGTGTGTGTGTGTGTGTGTGTGTGTGTGTGTGTGAGCATGTGTGTGTGCGTGCGTGCGTGTGTGTGTGCGTGTGCATGTGTGTGTGTGTGTGTGTGTGTGTGTGTGTGTGTGTGTGTGAGCATGTGTGTGTGCGTGCGTGCGTGTGTGTGTGCGTGTGCATGTGTGTGTGTGTGTGTGTGTGTGTGTGTGCGCGCGTGTGCATGTGTGCATGTGTGTGTGTGCGCGTGTGCATGTGTGTGTGTGTGTGTGTGTGTGTGTGTGTGTGTGTGTGTGTGTGTGTGTGTGTGTGTGTGTGTGTTGTGTGTGCGCGTGTGCATGTGTGTGTGTGTGTGTGTGCATGTGTGTGTGTGCGCGTGTGCATGTGTGTGTGTGTGTGTGTGTGTGTGTGTGTGTGTGTGTGTGTGTAGTCTCCTCTCTGCTCCCTGACACTCGGGCACAGCTGAGGAGGAGCGACTGCGGCTGGAGTTCTTCTCTCCTCTGAGACGTGAGACCAAAAGCGTCACACACCTGTGACGCCCTCAGCAGAAAACCCATCAGGCCTGATTTTCCGCTCAGCTTTATCTTAAAGGGACATTTTGCTTTTGACTGACTGAGTGTTTATGGAGAGTCGAGTCGTACCTGCAGAAAAGAAAACTGTCTATCTGCAGTTTGGAGATTTAGATGGCTCTGGACTTGTGAGGAGAAGCTGTGGAGCTGATACTTCTCAGTACATACTAGGACTGCTGATATTAGGAAAACCTGCGACGTTTGAGAACAGCGATTATTATTGCGATGACGATAGGATGTGCAATAAATACACAAATCAATGCAAACAAACAAAAACAATCAAAAACTTATTAAAAATAGAATAAAAAATGGAAAAAGCTAAAATTGTGATCAAAAGATGTGAGGAAAGGGAAATAAAATGAACATCAGTGGATTGTGAGAAAAGCAGAGAGAGCTGAGCGGTGTTTGCTAGTCATCCAGTTTCAGTGCCGTCCACTTAGGGGGCGGGCATCTAACCTATAAGAACCCACCCGATTGGCCAAATGGGTGCAGAGCTTTATTTGATTGGTTAAATCTTCACGCTTCTATTTGATTAACAGAATGCTTTATGTGTAGCAACACCTGAGCCGACCATTCACTGCAGTTTTTGTCTGGACTTTGCGATATGCGTGTTGTGCGTGCTGACATCACGATGACGACACATTTGTGATATATTGTGTAGCCTTAATACAGTTATTTAGCTAAAGGCTAATGACTTGTTGATTAGTAAGTGTAGAACTTCTGTTTGACCAAGTGTGCACAAAAACATCAACCAGCTGACAGAATGTCAAAATCAGACACGGGTTTTCCAAATGCATGCACAGCCTCCGCCTCACGGCCCGGATCTCCACAAACTCCGCTAAATCCTTTTTTAACAAGGACCGTTTCCATGCATGGTTGAATTCTCATCGCAGCTTAAATCAGGACTTTCCCAGTTGGACGTAGGCCTCAGACCAGGATCCAGATCCAGACCAGGGTCTCTGTCTGCTTTTGTTGTTTTAGATCGTTTCCTGAAATGTTGTGGAGATGTTGATTCAGCCGAAAGCACCAATGAAAGCTGGATCTATCTAATTTCTGTTCACGCAGAACCGGAGCCGCTGAGATTAAACGATGAACCAAACACAAAGAAAATCTGAATCCTAGGAAACGTTCAAACAGGGATTAACAGATTACAGAGAAGGTGATAGAATTCATCTCTGCAGGTGAGAATGAAGACAAAGCTACCTTCTACCTTCTCACACACACACACACACACACACACACACACACACACACCTGTACATGTATCTTATCTGATGCCATTAGCCTCGGTGCAGCAGATTAAAACACGCAGGCGGGTCTGAACTCAGCAGCTAAAACACTGCTGCCTGATTTGAATCTTGTCAGTATAATTGTAGATTTAGCTTGTAAAGTTGTTCTGTGTCAGATACTAAATATGTCTGGATTAACAACCTGTTATGATTTGTGTTTTAGTCGTTAATCTGCAGCTGAGTGTCGGTGAGAAGCACAGAAACGAAGCGATGAAGAGAACAAAGCTGCTCTTTGGCAGCATCATCCATCATCCATCATCCATCCATCCATCCATCCATCCATCCATTCTCTTCCACTCATCCGGGGTGGGGTCATGGGGGCAGCAGCCTAAGGCGAGAGGCCCAGAATTCCCTCTCCCCCAGCCACTTGGGCCAGCTCCTCCGGGGGAATCCTAAGGTGTTCCCTGTCCAGGTGAGAGACATAGTCCCTCCAGCGTGTCCTGGGTCTACCTTTAGGTCTCCTCCTGGTTGGACATGCCCGAAACACCTCCCCAGGGAGGCGTCCAGGAGGCCTTCTGACCAGATGCCCGAGCCACCTCAACTGGCTCCTCTCGATGTGGAGGAGCAACGGTTCTACTCCGAGCCCCTCCTGGATGTCCGAGCTCCTCACCCTATCTCTAAGGCTGAGCCCGGCCACCCTACGAAGGAAACTCATTCCAGCCGCTTGTATCCGTGATCTCGTTCTTCCGGTCACTACCCAAAGCTCATGACCATAGGTGAGGGTAGGAACGTAGATCCACCGGTAAATCGAGAGCTTTGGCTTCTGACTCAGCTCTCTCTTCACCACGACAGACCGGTGCAACGCCCGCAGAATCATAATCTAATAATAATTAAAAATAATTTAATGAGATGAAAGGATTTAGGTCTAAAGGAGCTCATTTCTGGGTTTTTTTCTTTGTATGAAAATCTGTTTCCTCTGTTTCTGCTGCTTTTGTCTCTCCTCTCATCATAAACAACTCATCTAGTGACCAAGCTGCCATGGTAACCAAACACACACACACACCCCTACCAACAGCTGAGTGTGTGACACTCCGAGGACCTTAGGGCATGACATGAAGAG